GCTCAGGTACCTTCCATAGTCTGAAATAAAATGGCATAACAGGAAAGGAAGTGCAATGTGTTTACATATTTCCTTTTAATGGAACAGGTTTAATATTATATATTTTTTCAAAAATGTTATACATATCTTCAAAGAAAGGGAAAAAAGCAGCACCTAGGTTAAACACATCGTTTGACATCTATAATAGGCATGTTCCTCAAACAGAATATTAAGCCACAAGTTGTAATCCTTAGGCTTGTTATAATGAACAAGAACTAAATATTTTTTTTATCAAAGATCATCATGCAAAACCATTTTTATCTTTTTTATAAATAAACATTAGTTTTGGGATGAGACACAGTGTATGTGCCCAAATGCTGCTATTAAAAGGCTTGACAGTTGGCCAAATGAATCACCGTATCCAAAGAAGGCTCATGGGCACCTCAGGCCTAGAACAAAGGTCTATCCAACTTCATTCGGAAGATCTTCAGCGCCACAGGGCTCTCTTTCCTTTATTAATCAACATTTAATGAAAGACCTGCTTGCAGGAGTTGTGGAAACTCTAATAAAATTTTGCAGATAAATAAGTCTAATTTCATTTAGCAGGTATAATGTTCTCTGTTTGTCCCCAATATTAGTCCCCTGTATTTATATGTTGCTTGATTAAATTTGTTTTCTTAACAGGTTCTTCTACACCTGCTCCTCCGGTGACAGAGACCATCCCTAGTAAGTGTGCGTCTGAAATCCTCATTTGTCAATTCAGAGAAGTGGCTATTGACATTCTCTGTTTTATTCATGTTGCACATATGTTTTATAATAACAGACAATCTATTTCACTCAATTTCTATTAATAATTGGAATGAACCACCTATTGACGCAGAGAAACAAGGCAGAGGCAATGAATGTTACCTAAAGAAAACTGCCCTTTAAGCCACAGAAACAGAAAAAGCCTGAGGAAGAGGCTCAGACTGACTTCCTCTTAACTTTCTTCAGATAGCATCTGAAGGAAGGAAAGAGAGCAAAGCTCAGTCAGGCCTGATATCAGCCCTAAAGGATGAAGCAGATTAAGAAACCAACTGGGACTGTTGTGCTATACACTATATAAACAGATTATTGAAAGCCTGATGAGTATGTCTCTCCTTCTCTCTCTTATTATACTTATACTGAATTAGGGAGGAATTAGTGTTACCTTTCACCCCTCTTCCTTCCTTTTGAAGTTTCAAAAACTGAAAGGATGCTTTCGTCTATGTAACTGTCATTTTCATGCATAGTGCTTGATTTACAACTAAAATTGAGCTCCAAATTTCTGTTGTTAAGTGAGACATTTGTTAAATAGGTTTTGCCCAATTATGGATAGTTTTCCCCAAATCAGACTATATAGGACTTTTTTTTTCAGCTACTTTGCTTTATATATTTATATATATACTTAATATATGTGTATGATATATATATATGTATATGTATGTGTCTGTGTATGTGTGTGTCTCTCTCTCTGTATGTATATATGTGTGTGTTTAGCACTTAGACCGCTTTACATGCTTTACAGCCCTCTCTAAGTAGTTTACGAGTCAGCATATAGATATACATATATAGTAATTATGTATGTGTGTATGTTATTTCTTTTTTTACAAAAATCATGAAACACTGCACTGCACTTCTCTTATCAATTATAGCAATAGCACTTAGACTTATATACTGTTTTATAGTGCTTTCCAGCTCTCTCTAAGTGGTTTACAGAGTCAGCATTATTGCCCCCAACAATCTGGGTCCTCATTTTACCCACTTCAGAAGGATGGAAGCCTGAGTCAACCTGGGGCCTGGTGGAATTTGAACTGCCAAATTGTAGGCAGCTGGCTGCAGAAGTCGCTTGCAGTACTGCACTCTAATCACTGTGCCACAGAGGCTCCTTGTAGATTATCCTAATTAATTAATTTTAAAAGTAAAATAATATATTGATGATATTGCCTATGTTGTATTCTTCCAAATTCTCAGAGATTTTAACCTTTTTCTGAAACACCAGCAAGAAAGTAATTCTTGATCTTATTTCCTATAACAAAACAAAATTAACAGTAGGATGGGAAATAGTTTTTAAAATCTACAAAGGTTCATGCGTCTTACATGCACAATATTTGGCTTTGTGTTGTCTAGCAAATCAATGTGGAGGCCAACTGACAAATGGTTATGGATCCTTCTCTGGACCTTATTATCCTGGAAACCACAGCAATATGACCTGTGTCTGGAAAATTCAAGTTAGGCACTTGAATCGCATAAATTTAAAGTTCTCTTCTATAAAGTAAGTTGAAAGATTCTTTTAACTTTTTCCTTCTATCTACTTAATAAATGTGTTTTTGGGTTTGTAGACTGCTAATATATTATTGGTGTACATCATCAACAATTATTATTCCAGAGTGAACCAGACTGGGTTAGCATGCATGATATACATTTGGGATGACTAAAACTAAGCAATCAATTCAACGTTTAATTGAATTCAACATAGTTCAACTGAAATAATGTCTTTACAATTCAAAATATGCCCCTTAAAAGAAACTCTAAGTATTCCTTTTTGGCTTAATGTGATTATTTATTTATTAAATAATTTTACACAATTTGGTGTTCAGGTAGTCCTTGTTTTACAATCACAATTGGGACCAGAATTTCTGTTGTTAAGCAAGGCAGTTGTTAAGTGAGATATACCCAATTTTATAAACTTTTTTGCCACAGTTGTTAAGTGAGTCATTGCAATAGGTGAATCACATGGTCATTAAGTGAATCCAGCTTCACCCATTGACTTTGCTTGTTGGAAGCTGGCTGGGACAGTCGCACATGGCAATCACATGACTTTGTGACTGTCATAAATACATGCCGGTTGTCAAGTGCAATGTTTTCAAATCCAAGGACCAGTCATGAGTCACATTTTTCAGTGCCATTGTAACTTTGAATGGTGGCTAAATGAATGGTTGTAAGTGGAGGACTACTTGTAGTGGTTAAGGCATCAAGCTAAAAACTGGGAGATGGTGAGTTCTAGTCCTGCCTTTGGCATAAAGCCACCTTAAGCCACCTCAGTCATTTTCTCTCAGTCCTAGGAAATGAAAAAAAAAATCAGTTTTGAAAAAGTTTGGCAAGAAAACCACAGGGTCCAGGCAGTCACAGAGAATCAGTGATTGAATGGAATTTAAAAAATGATGGCATGGTAAGAGATAAGGAGTAAAATCTTTATCTATTTCTGTACAGCTTGGACTGTGATAAAGAATATGTTGAGGTTTATGATGGACTCCAATATAGTTCATATCCACTTGGAAGAACTTGTTCTAGTGCCTATCTCAACTATACCTATTCATCAACTTCCAACATAATGACAATAGTGCTGCATAGAGATTCAGGTGATGCAGGAAATGGGTTCTCTGCTTATTACTACTCTATTCCACAAGGTAAGGATATTTATGTAATTCATTTTACCTGTATCCTGTTAATGATGTAATTTAGGGATTTAATATTATTTTAAACTAACTTCTATTTAGTTTTATACTGTGTAGGGCCATTGGTTCACATGAATATTTTAGCAGCCTACCTTCATGAACAAAATAATCTTTATCATCTTTGAATTTTCTGAAATTGAATAATGTTAAATAAATGAAACAAAATAAGAACACGATATAACAATATAATTAATTGGAAGAGGCATCAGATGCAACAAAGCAGAACACTCCTTATTGCTAATTTAATATTTAAACTAGGAAAATCAACAATGTTTTAAAATGGAGCCAAACTAATGGCAGTGTGCCAGTTGTACTGAAAGATTCCACAATTGAGGTGGTACAATGGAACAGATTTTCTCAAGTTGTGTCATATAATGTATTTAAAGTGCTTGGAGAAATGCCTTTTTTAAAATTCAAAAATAGATAAATGGGATGAGATCTTATGTTCAAGTCAGAATTTCAAAAGTAAACCTGAAAATCTTAAAAGAAGTATTCAGTACTGGTATAATCCAGTTTGGTTGTACTAGTTTGTTCGACAGCTATACTTATTATATTTCAGTAGAAGCCTCACCATATGTAATCCGATCAGGCATGTTCATAGGCATCGGTCACTCAACCTTTGTCCTTCCCATGTTACCCATCACTGTTATGAGATTTCAGATTTGGTTCCAAAGTAGCCAATCTCTGCTTGCCACCGGATGACTGATGCAGGGGCCAGAGGGAGATGGGAAAGAGGGTGGGGATACAACCCACTGTTTTCCCCTGTGCTATGCAACCTATGGGTTTCTGGGAAGAATAGTTGGAAGGTGCAGCATGCTGAAGTGGCCACAACATCCCCAAATTTCATTTCGACAAGAGTCATAACTCCTAGCATTCTGTAAGTTAGCCCATTTGAGTTTTCTTGGTTCAATAACTGTTGCCCTACACTTTCCAATTTCACCCAATTTAAGGTTACAAACAAACAGACCAAAGAGTTTTAGTAGTATGCAGATTGGATGGAAGCAATAATCATCATGTTTAATGAAATCATTTTATTGTGTTCACAGAACTGAGGCCTACTACACCAGCTTCTACTTCTAAAGATACAAGTAAGATATTATTCTTTTTTTTCTCCATTATTGTTTAGTTGATGCACTGTAAAGTGTTAAACCGTCACTAGAGATCACAGGTAACATTATCTATAATACCATAATATATGTCTCATATAATGAATTTGACATGTCAGAAATACATTTCACATATAGTACTTTAATGTGTTTGAGTGGTAAGGATTCAATTTGTCCACAGTGTGTGCTCTGATTCTTCATCCAGATTTATAGAATTTCTTGGTTACATGTAAATTTGTGAAGTCAAATTATCTAGGACCAAAATCCTAAACCAATAAGAAAGAAAAATATTCTCATTGTCATTGTGATGTTAGAAAAAAGTATGTTGGCTATTGTAAATTGAACTGTTAAACCACCTGTACAATGAAGACACTCACCTTTGCTATATTTTCAGTTTCCCAGTTTGCATTACAGATGCAAGAACTATAGCTCTTCATTTTTTGAATTTCAGTTGTAAAATATATTTGTAAGAATTTGAAGCGTCCTGGAATCATTTGTACATAACTGATCATCTCATACTGTCTTCTCCAAGCTAGTATATTGGGACAACAAATTGAGGAAGGCTTAAGCATGACATTTATCCTTTGATACAATTATGAAAAGATAGTAGGGATGAAGTTGTGGCATGATAAAACAGTTTATTCCTTAGTTTTGACTGAAACTATATTGTTACAATACAATACTGAGCTTAGTAGTATATTATGTTCAAACCAATACACAAAAAAGTGAATTCAGATACGACTCATCTAACATTATTTTGATTATATAGAACATGAGCATTTATAAAATGAATTGTTTAGTTTCCAGAGAGAAGTGGAATTTGACATTCTAGGTAAAATAATACAAGTTTCACTAAAACCAATTAGTTGTGTTAAGGCTTGTGATTTTCCTTTTTTTTAGTCCAAAGGTCCATGGGTGTACTTCTCAGAACACAATGATCAACTTACTGACATTAAGTACTCTGCAAATTGGTTGATGATTGGGTGGTTTGCATTTCTGGCCTGTGGATCGAGATCTCTCTCTCTCTCTCTCTCTCTCTCTCTCTCTCTCTCTCTCTCTCTCCCTCCCTCCCTTCCGCCCTTCCTCCCCCTCCCCCTCCCTCTCCCTCCCTCTCTTTCCACAGAAAATATGAAGTAATTTCATAACTATTTTTGATAAAATCACTTTTCTATGTTTTGATTATTTTGATGCTTCTACTCTCAGGGAAAGTGAAAGTTTCCTTTTCTGGCTAAGTAGAAGAGATATTCCTTAATTAGTTTAGATTCAAGATTCAAGAATTAAAATAATAGTAATACTTAGATGTATTTGCATTTGCTTAACATTTCTCTGTGTTATTATTTAGGACTTTCATGTTCTGATGGATTCATGCGTGCACGGATTAGCATAAGCTATCTCAATTCAATCGGCTATAATGCATCACAAGTTTACCTGAACTCCCTGGATAGATCATGTAAATCTCAAATTTCAACCGACTATGTCTACTTTATTATACCATTCTATGGCTGTAACACAGATATAAGGGTGAGAATTAATTGTTGTTAAAACTAATAATTATCTGTTTTTTCTCTCTTCTTGTCTTAACTATTTTTATAAGAAAATTTACTCTAGCTTGGGTTTTAAATTGAACGAACATTATGTTTAACAACAATATGAAATGTAAGTTTAAAGTTAATTTTGGATATTGAGTCTGAGAGGTTCTGCTTAACTTGAAATACCTTAATTGGACCTAATATTACAATTAAAATTAAAAAGGGAATTTTGGAAAGAAGAAAAAAAATTGATGTCTTTGAGACTGATTCCTCATTTTATCATCTAAGTTGAGGAAAAGCCAGGGTTGTGGCTGCTCTAATATTTTGTAATAGGTAACATGATTTTTGTTAACATAACTTTTGTTACTATAATTCTGAAATAATAGTAGTCTTTAAAATGGTGGTGTTTAATGAGTATTTTTATGTCAATACTGTTGATTAATTTTTCTTTTCTCTTTGATTACTTTTTCTTTTTTTCTGTGCTTTTTTAGGTGAAGAATGACACAATAACTTATTACAATGTAATCAAGACACTCAACTCCGATTATATTATTACAAGAAAGAAAAACTTTCAATTTCATGTTTTGTGTGAAATGAGGCAGAACACTATTGTACAAACAATGTTTATTGCCCAAAATGCTATTGACCTTACTGAAAGGCGTATTGGCCATTACAATGTGTCTCTGGCATTCTATTCATCATTATCCTTCACCCATAAAATTGTGGGATCACCTTACTACGTTTCACTCAACCAGAATTTATATCTCCAAGCTACTCTGCACACTGCTGATACAAATATTGTACTCTTCTTAGACACATGTATTGCATCTCCAGATAGTAATGATTTTAGAACCTTGACCTATGACTTAATCCGAAATGGGTAAGTGTGTATTAAATACGTAAGAACCATAATCCAAGTTGCCACAAAGAAATTGCTGTTGTGTCAGACACATAGATTCTGAATTATATTTTCTGCTTATGTCATATTTCTTAAGACAGAATGGAAAGAACTACAGGGTTTATCTGCAAACTATAATGACTCATTTTCCAACAAAACAGTACTATGTTGTGTTAATATTTCAGTTAAATTATCAAATATTAATATCAAATTATTAAATTAAATGTTAATATCAAGTAATTAAATCACATATACAAAACTAAGGTGAATAAAAGTATATTTTGGGCTGAATGGATAGGTCACAAAATGTATACTAATGACCAAACTTTGTTTTCATTATGGTCAATTTCACATACTTTGTACAAAAATAGCTATTACTGCAGAGCCATTGCCTTGTTCTTACTATACAGTCCTCTGTACTAGCAACATATTACTTTCCTCCCAAGTACATATCTTGAAGCACTTTTACAAGCCCCAAATTTGGGTTTTATTTATCATTTTGATATTCCAATATTATTTGCTTTACCAATTTTCTTTACTGTATCTCATAATCATCAGAGTCAATCTACTGCAGAAATTTAGGAATTACATACATCATTACACTGTAATGAAATATTTGAAGTAAACTTCTAGGCATACCTGATACAACAATATTTCCTTTTATTTTTCAGATGCCCACGAGACTTTACTTATAGAAGCCTGTCCTCTCCAGCAAACAATATAGTTCGTTTCCAGTTCAACTCCTTTAAGTTCCTTAACAAGCACAATTCAGTTTACATACAATGTAAATTGGTAGTGTGTAGAGCAGGTGATCGTTCATCTCGATGCCACCAGGGATGTTTAAGGAGAAGCAAGAGAAGCGTGGATGAATCTCAGGAGAAGGTTAATGTTGTTGTGGGACCACTCAAACTTCTGAAGGATGAAAATGAAGTTCAAAAATAGGGATTTCCCCGCTTCCCTGCAATTTAACTATGTTTTCTGGTTAAAATGATGAAAGCTAGATAGATACCTTAAAAAAAAGTAATCATACCCATGTTACTCCATGGAGAAAATGTTTCAAATCCACAGCTGAATACTATTCTTTATACAAGCACTAAAAGTGATATTAAATATCAAAACAACTTTTTAAGATCTTCAGAGCTCTTCATCAGGCAATATTAGGGGATGAGGGAAAGGAAAATTAGTGAACAGCATTTTACATAGACAAGGTATTTTCCTAAATGGCTATGCAATTTGCTGACACAGTACATCATGATATAAACAGACTGTTTAATTTTGTTAAGCACTTTATACAAAAATGCCAAAGTCCACTTGAGGTTTGTGTTCTTCATGATGATTGTTAGCCTTATGAAAATATTTGAGAGTCCATCAATAATATACTCTTATTAAAACCATTAGTTGTATCTAAACAAAGTTACTATCTGACACTAGAAAACAATTTTTAAAACGTTCTTTGTATGTTTTGTCGTTCTTATTTTATTAAAGTCTGACATAGAAGATATACCAATTTTAACAGTCAACCTACACAGAAAAATGTGTACCTGTATTTCATACAGGAAGGAACATACTAGCTGTATTTAATATCTAAATTGTATAAATAAACCACGTTATTGTAGCATCCCTTCTTGCTTTGAAAAGCAAATTACTTCAACTATTTCTGAGAATGATTGGGGATTATTATTCTTTCTCCCACACCAATGGTACTTAGGTAGCATCTGCTGTCTGAGAAGTTACATGATATATTAAGACTTGGTCAGACTTTTAATAAATTGAATAATTTGTTTAAGACTAAAGGGGTCAATATAGACCAACATGGGGACTGCTAAACTAATGAGAAAAAGGATAATTTTTGAAGAACCCCTAAAGATGAATGAGCTACAAAAATGAAAAGTTTTAGGATTCCATGCTGTATATATGAATACAAAAACGTTGTCGCTAAATTAATTTCAAATTATTGGAAATTGTATTTTTCTTCCAATGCATTGCAATAAAACTGCTAACTTTGCAAACTAAGAGTGAGCTTATTATTTTAGCAATAACACTTAGACTTATATACTGCTTTACAGTGCTTTACAGCACTCTCTAAGTGGTTACAGAGTCAGCATATTGCCCCGAACAATCTGGGTCCTCATTTTACCAACCTCAGAAGGATGGAAGGTTGAGTCAACCTTGAGCTTGGTGAGATTTGAACTGCCAAATTGCAGGCACCCGACAGTCAGCAGAAGTAGCCTGCAGTACTGCATTCTAACCACTGAGCTACCAAGGCTCATTTTGGTACAAGGAAAACTACTTCTGTAGAAAAATCGAACCTATGAATTACTATATTTATTTTTATTTGAAAATTTCTTTCCCATTTTTATTTCATGAAACAGTCCCAGAGAAAGATACAACATATGTTAAATTTTATAAGAAATTAAAATAATTTAAAATAAAAATATTTTCACCAAGCTGTAAAAACCAGAAGAACCCTTATTTTGGGAAACCTAAGAATATTCACATCTTTAAAATAATAAAATGCTATTATGTGCACAAAAAAGATATTGGGCAATGGGCTGGTCAGTTTAACAACAAGTCTTCATGCTGCTGTTGTAACCTAACTTAAGAAATGCAAACTCAGATCCCTCAATGAAGCAGAAGAGTCTCCAGATAAGACTAATAAACCACAACCATTCTTCTCAATTCCTCCAGTCTGGGCTGATACCGCATCAAATAGGCAGAGCTAAGTCTAGCCAATTATATACAAGCTCACCCACTCAAATAAAATTTCATTAAATATGCCAAGATGGCTCTTTCACCTAATTAAATGATAAATTAAGCATACCCAACATTCAGTAACAGAATCATTAGACAACTGGTAGGTTGATTTGATGACAAAGACTGCAACCTGAGGAATAGCTCTGTTTCTGCACTCCTGTCCAACTTTTAATGCTATCAGTCTCCTTGTTTCGTTTAGTTAGAATTATTCAGTTAGAAGTATGTTATTTTCTGAAGCTGATGTACAGCAACACACAACACTATTTAGATATGTACACGCATACATTCATTTACACACAGATGGTCATATGAAATGGGTGGGGAAAATAAATATTCTGTCAGATTTTCTGTCAGATTTTATTAGTAATACTTCCCTTATAAAAAAAAAAGAACATTTCACCACAATTTCACAGTCTTTCAGAATTTCCAAACCTATTTGAAGTAGTCAAGCTGTTAGTTTAGTTCAGTCAAGCTTTTATCTTGGTTCAAATCAACATTGCAAATCAGGCTACTCAACAGGTTGGGAGAAAACCTGAAAGGAGATGCCAGGGGAGGTTGAAAAAGGAAACTGATCCAAATTTCAGATGGGTATCATATCCTAATTATGGTTATCTTCATAAATGTATATACTACATCATAGGGTTTATGATCAAAATGTGTACATTTTTGCATTATTCATAATAACTATATTATAGAAAGTGGTAAAAAGGAAAAAAGATAGAAATTTCATATTATACTGGTATTAACAAAGCATATAGAGCAGTGGTTCCCAAAGTGGGTGGTACCGCCCCCTGGGGGGCAGTGGGATACCTTAGGGAGCGCTAAGAGGCAAGGGAGCTGGCAGGGGAGCGCTAAGAGGTGGCAGGGGGGCATTCGAGGTGCCGGCCTCGCAGGGTCACCCATTGACTGTTGTATGCTCCAGAGCTGGCTCCTCGAATGCCCCCCTGCCACCTCTTAGCGCCCCTGTGCCAGTCCCCTTGGGGAACGCTAAGAGGTGGCAGGGGAGCATTCGAGCATCCATCCATCCATGTTCAAAGCACCGGCCCTGCAGGCACATCGGGAAAGTAGAAGAACAGAATTTAAGTGCCCGGTTTTATTCAGTTTTTTGTTGCTACAAGAGAATAACAAAAAATGTTACCAAGATGTATTTATCTTGAGTTTTAAGTTCCAGTAGATGTCAATGTTGGAATTTAGAAGATTATTTTTGGGGGGGGGCATAATTTGTATTTTAACAAGTTTTAAAATTAATGTCTGCAATGTCAGCTAATTCTAGGAAATTTACATCCCTAGTTTCAAACCAAATCATTCCATCAGATGTTATAATATAAGTAATCCCCGCCCCCCCGAAATTACTTGAATTGGCTAGAGAAGTATGTTACACAAGGTAAGTGGCTCTAAGTAGCTATTATTTATCAATTAAAAACACTTTTCTTCAGCAAGAAAAACATACTGCATATTATCAAAGTAATGAACATGAGACCAAACTAAATCCAAAGTTGCTAGGGAAGTCCTGGAAGTCCTGGAAGTCCTGAAGTCAACTATCAATAGACACATAGAGACACATAGAGATATACTGCAATATATTTGCAATATTTGCAATATTCAAAAGAGATATAAGAAATAGAAAGAAAGAAAGAAAGAAAGAAAGAAAGAAAGAAAGAAAGAAAGA